TAATAATTTTTATGCTAGCAATTTGTAAGAAAAATTACACATTTTATATATAAAAATAGGACACAATGTACTGTATTAACCCTTGTATGGTGTTCGGGTCTGTGGGACCCGTTTTCACTTTTTATCAAAAGAAAAATGATACTATTACTGTTTTTGACAGAAATCTCTTACCAATCTCTTACTGCATTTATTTGGGCATATAATGATATAAATATAGTAAATACCGTAAAAATTGTGAAATATTATTACAATTTAAAATAGCTGTTTTCTATTGTAATATATTGTAAAATGTAATTTATTTCTGTGATGTGCAGCTGTATTTTCAGCATCATTACTCCAATCTTCAGTGTCACATGATCTTCAGAAATCATTCTAATATGCTGATTTGCTGCTCAAGAAACATTTCTGATTATTATCAATGTTGAAAACAGTTGTGCTGCTGAATATTTTTGTGGAAACTGTGATGCATTTTATTTTTCAGGATTCTTTGATGAATAGACAGCATTTATTTGAAATTCTAAATTCTAAATGTCTTTACTGCCACTTTTGAACAATTTAATGCATGCTTGCTAAATAAAAGTATTATTTATTTATTTATTTATGTTTTAGTAAATCTTACTTACCCTTAACTTTTGAATGGTATCGTATCAGTTTTCTACGTTGATAATAATCAGAAATGTTTCTTGATCACAGAAATAAACTACATTTTACAATATAATCACATTGAAAACTACTATTATAAATTATAATAATATTTCACAATATTACTGATTTTACTGTATTTTTGATCAAATAAATGCAGCTCTGGTGAGCAAAAAAATAACTTCTTTCAAAAACATAAAAAAATCTTAATCACTGCAGACGTTTGACTGGTAATGTATGCATGAAGTCATCAGTCAGTAAACACACACAGACGTTCAGTAGTTCACCTGAACAGTCACACAGCGCCGCAGCGGTGTAGTAGTGAGCCAGCGCTCTGAAATGATGCGTTTTGACCTGAACCATAGAGATCCAGGAGAAAGGAACGTAGTCCTTCAGTAACGGCACTGACATCGCCTGAAGAACCAGAGAATACACGTCTGATACCTACAAACACACACACAGTTATGAACAAATGAAACCCTGTAACATGCATTCATTGAAGCATGTGAGTGTGTGTGTGTGTGTGTGTGCGCGTGAGTGTGTGCGAGTGCATGGAATTCATGCATAATGTCTTCAGAATCATTCATACATGTGAAAATGAGCTGAGAATTGAACAAAGTTGTAATCTGGCTCAGATTCAGACAGGAATCATGTGTTTGTGGTGCTGATTAAGGGGTAACACAAGACTTCTTCACCTTACACATGGTTGTCGAAAGCAAAAATGCTACGAAATGCATCATATTTTGTAAGAAAGTGAGCAAAACAGACACAATTTTTGGAATCAGCACGGACAAAATTAGTAAGAAACAAGTATTGGATTTCATTCAGCAAATATGATGCACGGCAGAGAAATCAAAATTTACTGTATTTACCTTCTTAAAGCTACACTGTCATTTTTGGCCCTCTAGCAGTAAATGTAAAATAGCACTGATGCTTCCCTAATGATTCCCATTTTGAATGATCCATAGTTGATTTTTCTTGTTTGTTGTAACAACAGCTTCATGCTACTTGCAGTCAGAGCTCCTTCACCCAAATACACTTTGATAAACCTACAAAGACTGCAGACATGGTTTGGAAAATGGATTTCTTTCATCTATATTTTTTTCTAAATATAGTTTCTTTTCAGTCTCGTTTAGATGTGCTGTGTTTGCCATGTCGGACACAAATATGGCGGCGAGCAAAGCGGAAGTGACGTCTTTGGAACTCATGGATATGTATTGCTTTCTTCCTTCTGTGGTTGGTTCTTGGGGCAGCAGATCAATCTGTCTGAAGGGAAGACAGAAGAGATGGAGGGTTAGTTAAAATTGTTCTGGCTACTCACGACCCCACTGAGCTTCCGTCCTTAAGAACTTATCCTGTCCTTGGGTTTAGGGCGATCCAGCATTCAGCATCTGCTCATATTTGGTAACATTTTACAAGAAGGTCTCATTTGTTGACATTAGTTAATCCATTAACTAACATGAAATAACCATTAACAACATATTTTACAGCATTTATTAACCTTTGTTTATGTTAGTTAATAAAAATATTCATGTTAGTTCACAGTCCGTTTACTAATCTTAACAGATACGTTTGATTTTAGAAATGTATTAGTAGATATTAAACTTGCCATTGATTAACATTAATAAATTCAGTGCAAGTATTGTTCATGTTAAATAAAATAATAAATTAAACCTTATTGTTAAGTGTTAGCATTATTTATTTGCACTTAAATACATTTTCAATGCAAGTCATCATGGTATCCGTCTAAAAACATGGCATTACCATGTTATTCTTTTAATGCTTAACAATACCATGTAAATAGCAAGCGTGTATTATGGTACAAATACCATATAGGCTACAATGTCTAAAAGACTATGGTAATAACATGGTACTTTTTTGTAAGCGCCTCAACCTGTTATTTCTTATTGCGTTGTTGTTTTGTTTAGCAGTACGTAATAAATTAACATGTATGCTCTGAAAGTCCACCTACCTTGCGGACGGACTCTGTCGAGCCTCTGTCCTCATCTGATCCGGAGTCAGACATCACGAGCTCACCTGTATTACTGCACCTGTAATAAGCCAGCGGACAATAGCGCGAGAAACGATCGCGTGCGCACGTTACGAAATCTCTGTGTACTGGAAGCTTCTGTCACCAAAACAAATTCCTTGGCAATAAAGTTCTTTCTGACGTCTGACTTCAATATTAGCACACACTGATACCTGTAGAGATTTTCAGCTCCGGTCCGCAGATGAAGTTCTCGGTTGATCTGCTGGTTGAGTTTAGCTCTCCGCTGCTGCAGTTTGCTGCGCTGGGTTGAGACGAGAGGATCACATCCCTAAAACACACACACACACCGGTCATGTCATCGCCTGAAATGTGCATATTTTGAATTTAATCTCACTGCCTCTCTCAGCATTTGAATTTAACCATTGCACTTCTGTTCTGTTCTCTATACCTTAACACTTAACAATACTACTTTTTCATTAACTCCATGTAAATATTGAGTTAATGAAAAAGTGTGTGTGTGTATATACTGTATATATATATATATATATATATACAAGTCATCATGGTATCCGTCTAAAAACATGGCATTACCATGTTATTCTTTTAATGCTTAACAATACCATGTAAATAGCAAGCGTGTATTATGGTACAAATACCATATAGGCTACAATGTCTAAAAGACCATGGTAATAACATGGTACTTTTTTGTAAGCGCCTCAACCTGTTATTTCTTATTGCGTTGTTGTTTTGTTTAGCAGTACGTAATAAATTAACATGTATGCTCTGAAAGTCCACCTACCTTGCGGACGGACTCTGTCGAGCCTCTGTCCTCATCTGATCCGGAGTCAGACATCACGAGCTCACCTGTATTACTGCACCTGTAATAAGCCAGCGGACAATAGCGCGAGAAACGATCGCGTGCGCACGTTACGAAACTGCGCAAACGTCACCGTGAATCCGTTAAACGCCCTACTTTAACGGCTGTTTTCCACTTATTTAATACGCACGAGACACAGCTTTAACTCTGTACGTGTCTAAATACATTTGTTTATCTCCATAATGTGATCTCTTGCAACGCGTCCTTGGGATTCAGCCAATAGAATCGCGTTATTTCTGAGTGACACATGTGATGGCCAATCACAGCTCGATAAATACGGCCGACTGACGGGGGAATCGTCCAATGAGGTGGCGGTGATGGGAATAAAGGCGATTTGGGGCGGAAAAATAACTGTTGCCCCTGGCAACACGGAGGCACGATAACGCTTTTGTGTTTATCTGAAGACTAACGTTCATCAAATTGTTTTTAAAATATTTCAAAGCACCCGTAGTTACACATTTATCCGTTTAAAACCCAAAACTCTATATAAAACGTTTAAAGACCCACACATTACGATATGATACAGGATTTTTATAGTTAACTAAATCTAAAATCCTTTGTCACTTTAAAGTAAGTAATTAAAATAAGTTATTTTATTTTTACATTTTATTTTATTTCAGTTACAATTGGATTTATTAAATTACCTAAACCTGAAATAATAACTAAATAGACATTTAAAATACGAATAAAACCAACAAAAACACACAGCAAATAAAAAAATTAAAAAAACTATAATAGTATCACATTGATACGAAAATTACACTGATATGAACAACAGACATAGCGTGTTACTTTATATTTTATTACATTTTATTTTATTTCAGTTATATTTGGATTTACTAAAATACCTAAAACTATAACTGAAATAATAATAATAATAAAAAAATTTAAACCGACAAAAACACAAAACAAATTTAAGAAAAATATATAAAAAGAAAAACTAGTTAAAAATAATAAAAACTATAATATCACAATGATACTAAAATAACATTGATATGAACAACAAACATAGCCTGTTACTTTTTTTTTTTTTTTTTACATTTTATTTTATTTCAGTTATAATTGGATTTAAACACCCTAACACTACAACTGAAATAATAATAAAAAACTAAATAGACATTTAAAATACTAATAAAACCAAAAACACAACAAATTTAAAATAAAAAATATAAAAAAATAAAAACTAATTTAAAAAAACTATAATAATAACAGATATGAACAACAAACATAGCCTGCTACCTTATTAAATTAAATTAGATTTACTATGCAAATTGATATACTAAGAATGTACTATTTATTTACTTACAATTTACTAATATCAAAGAGTACTAGATTTTTTCATTTACTAAAATCATATAGCACTAGATTTTTGAATTTTTTATTATTTTTTTTATATTAAAAAATACTTGAAGGTAGATCACATTACAGTTAGGATTATAGGACAAAACACATAGTCATGAATCACTTTTGTACATAACTTTATTATGTTGTAAAACTAACAGTAAATTATAATTTTCATTACATCATCACTTATTTTATTAGTTAATCTAAGAGGAACCAATACCATATTCAAAAGAATTGCTCAGAGAATGTGTTCATGCTATTGGACCACAACAAGCAGCATTGCTCAATCTGTTATTAGGACTTTAAAGGGAACCAGGGATTTTAAGGCACCTTTTCCTTTAGATGTAATGTTTCCGACTTTGGTCTGGGCTGTGTTTCGGCTTGGCTTTAGTTCGACAGCAGGAAGTTGCTGCCTTTACTGTTTCCTTTTGTGATATCAGACACCAGGGAGTGCAGCCGCTCCGATAAAGCCACCTTTAAGACAATGTTAAGAAACACACTTTCAGTCTGCAAATGTCATTTTCAGGTACTAAATGTATTCCAGTTGCTGATATGGTGAACTCACGGTGTAATCGTGCGGCTCTTGTAGTCTCTTATGGTGAGGATGCAGCGTTTGCAGAGACATCTGTGCACGCTCACGACTCTCTGATGCACTGTTTAGGGGGAATGTGATCTGTGCACACAATCACACACACATCTGAATTAGAAAAGGCCATGAAATCAACATTGGAGTTTTGTGTTTTTTAATATAAGTTTAATATATGTAAATTTGAGCTCATAGCATCCAGATGGGTTCCTAAAAGTTCAAAATAAACTTTCAATGTACCGTATTTCTCGCCAAAACAGCTCTAAACAAATAATATGTGTGTGGATTTTGATGTGAGAGACAACAGGAGATGCACTTTTTCACTGGAGGAAGCGTTATTATGGATTATGGATTTTAACCGGCCCGGAAGCAACGGTTTGAAGTTAAAAAGGTCTTAATGCTGGATCAGTTTCAGCTTTTGTCTTCTCCAGATGTAAACTGATGGACTGGAGTGCTGTGGATTACTTGTGGATTATTGTGATGTTTTTATCAGCTGTTTGGACTCTCATTCTGACGGCACCCATTCACTTGCAGTGAGCAAGTGATGCAATGCTACATTTCTCCAAATCTGATGAAGAAACAAACTCATCTACATCTTGGATGCTCTGAGGGGTGAGCACATTGTCATTTTTGGGTGAACTATTCCTTTAAAACGGATCAAAAATATTAATATCATCCACTTGTCCGCAATGGCAGCACAGACTGATAATGTCAGTGTTTACTTGTCCACAGGTGAAGACATCCAAACGCAGACTGGTTACTTGAGCCGGTGTGACCGTCTGAAGCGTCTTGTTCAGTCCTAGAGGGAAGCAGTTCAGCGAGACGCCCGCTTTAGGAGCCGGTTCTTCTGACAGACAGATCAGATCCATATGCGGATGACCTGCCAAACAGACGTTCATACGAACTACATTCAGCTAATGGTGCTGGCAAACCTGCGAAAGGTGCACCAAGCTATTTTTTCCACTTAAAAATCAAAATAAATATTATATAATGTTATATACTATATTTACAAAAAAAAAAAATTTAATCAGTATTTTAATCAATCACATTTGTATTGAAATATTGATATTTTTCAGCCTTTTTGCAAGATTCTCTCTCTGTATGTCATAGCAAAATTCGACTGACTGAAATTTTGTTCTTTATATATGAGAATATATCAATATAATACATATGAGAATATATATACAGACACAAATATTTATATATTTGCTCTGAAATGTTTTTTAAGATGTTAAAAAAAACATTAAAATCATCACAATATTCACATTGTTGCTTATATTACCAGCATTATCATAAAAAATATTGTGAATATTCCCTATAAAGCTCAAATTATTATTACAAAAAAATTTGAAAAAGAGAAAGAAATAATGGTAACACTTTACATATATATATTTAATGCATTAAATAGCATTAACTAACAACGAGTAATGCATTTGTTAAGAGTATTTAATTATTAATCTTTGTTAACGTTAGTTAATAAAAATACAACTCTTGTTAGTTTTCATTTTAAAAATGTATTAGTAAATGTTGGAATCAACATTAACTAAGATTAATAAAAGCTTTAGATGTATTTTTTAATATTGTTAACTAATGTTAATAAATGGAACCTTATTGTAAAGTGTTACCAAAAATATAATATAATAGATATAATAAATATTAAGATATAATTAAAAGTAAATGCAGACCATCTGCGTCTAGAAGCCTATAGACAGACTTGCGTCCCGGCAGCGTGCTTTTCTCTGGATCTTCACTCATCTTCATTCGGGGACGACCTCTGACCTCTATCAGCTGCAGTGAGTGAGTAATACAACCATCAGCATGCATTAATAAAGCACGTTGCGTGAATTTTAATGCCGTGTTGACTTCACAACTGGGTCAGTCTTTGTACCTTATATACACACCCCAGAGAGGGCTGCCGCGTGCATGTGACCAGATGAGTCCCCACTCCAACCACGTCGATCTCATTATCCTGACACACAGAGAAACCGCTGATGAATGGCTTTATTGCTGTGTTTAAAGGGGTCATATGATGCGATTTCAAGTTTCCCTTTCTCTTTGGAGTGTTACAAGCTGATTGTGCATAGATAAGATCCCTGAAGTTGCAAAGACTAAAGTCTCAAAACCAAAGAAATATTCTTTATCAAAGTTAAGACTCTGCCACGCCCCCCTAAAACGGCTCGTTCTAACACGCCCCCACATATCTACCCCACTATGTGGAAATATTTGCATAATGCGCCCAAATGTGCAAAGAAAGAAGGCGTGGTTTCAGGAACAGCAGTAGTGTTGATGCAGCATGTCAGGCTCTTACTTTCTTGTTGAGTTCAGCGAGACTCTGTTCAGAAATACTGTTTGTGCCGACGATGATGAGAGACTCAAACTGAGGAACGGAGAAGCTGCAGACAGAGAAACACAGAATAAAATAGATTTGAGTGATTGCATGCTGAAGTTTAAGACTTCTGGTTCAAACCAGTGCTATTTTAGTATCGATATATTATTATAGGTTTGGCTAATATTGTAAAATAGGTTTTATTTTCATTTTTTCTTTTTAATTTTAGTTGTGTGTTTTTGTTTTTTTAAAAACATGTCTATATTGTTTTTAATAAGTTTTAGTTTATAGCTTTATTTAACTTACTTTTAGTAATTTTAGTGTTTGAACTTTTTATATCTAGCTGACAAAATATTTTACTTTAGTTCATGTTTATGTAATACAAATATTTCTATGGTTTTATCTAACGATAATAACCCTGGTAAACACTGAAACTAAACTATTAAATATAATTTTCTGTAACTGATATGAAGCTGAAATTAATTAAAATATAAAGAATAGATGAAAAACTGTCACAACTAGCTGTGTAAACACGCATTAAGATGGAGATGATCAATTAATTAATCCAAACAGGGTAAATCCAACAGAGGTAAAGGCAATCCAATAATAGCTATAACGCAGACGAGACCCGACAATGAAACGCAAAGAGAACTGAACTGAAGTAGGGGAGATAATGACAAACACACCTGAACATAAAGATGAAATCAAATCAGTAACTATGACAACGAACTGTTGCCTTGGCAACTAACTGAAATAAGTTTTAAGGCTAAATAGAAATATAAAAAAACAACAACAACAAAAAAAAGCTAATAAAAATACCAAATTACTTCAACACCAAAATTAAACTGAAAATATAAAAATAAATATTAAATAACAATAAAAGTACACATTCTGTTGTATTTACATTTTTTATAATTGTTTTTCTTTTTAAATAGTTCCATTTTAAACAATAAAGTATACAATAAAAATAATAAAAAGTATAAAAATAGTTCTATTTTAAGTTTTTTTTTTAAACCACACAAATCAGTGCAACATCCTTGCTTTCACTTTTTACTTAAACCCAAATTAAAAAGAAATCTGAATATATATATATATATATATATATAGAAAGAGATTTTCTGTGTATTTTT